CCAACATAGCGTGTTATATTCTTGCTGGCTAACAAATACATTACTACTCACACATCCCTCGTTCTATTTTCATTTGTGATTGAGTTAGCTGAAGTCTAAATCAAATATTATCATTATTTATAGACTGTAATTGGAATATATCACATTCTACGTGGGATTATATCATTAGAGAGTTCGCCAAACTGCTCAGAATCATCAAGCATAAATAATTGTGGATTTACATTACCGGACCTAATCAGAACACGCAACGTTGGGTCAATTTAAGTAACGTTCCTAGTTTTTATTGTATTTGTAACAATTAACTGTATATATTAATATTACTATTGATCTTTAGTAACTTTGTTTATACTTTTCGCGTTCATATCTGTCTGGTCCACCACATATGCTGAGTGAACATAATTATGGTCGAAAACCTGATGTAGTTTTGATAGATGCTAATTTTTCTAATGATCCTTTACTCTGCAATGATATTCTTAATAAATTCGAGGAAACTATATCAGAAGAGTCAAAGCTTGATGTCATACCAAATATTACTTGTCCTCATAAGGCATTTGTTTCTTGTGAGAAAATTGTTCAATGCGAAGCACGAGTACTAAATGACCTCGATTTTGATTACAATTCGGTTGGTTTCATATCAAATGCCGTTTGTCCTTATGACAAAAACACTCCTGATGTTTACTCTAACCAATGTGAGAAATATGTTTTAAATGAAGCCACATCATTCGTAAATTAGGGATTTAAAGATCCAACATTATTTCGCGGGGGAGGATATTGTTGAGAAATTTGTGTTTTAAATTGTAGATAGTGGTTTCGGTATACAATTGACACTGTGATTGTATACAATCCTAGGAAGCAGGTGAGTCTGTTCCGATTTCGTTTGTTAATTCAAATACTAATGAGCACATTCTAGATAATACAGAATCCTTATCCAATACACTGTCCGACAGACACAGGATGAACTTGAGAAGAGGACGTACAATTAAATACAGATACCTAGACTCCAATTTAAGCTGTGGCGGATGTGGTGTTTGAATGAACTAATGATTTCTTTGTACTTTTTGAATGCTTGACTTCGAATTCTAAATACAGTACATTCTTTGGTGGTTATCTAGTACTTCTTGATCCGATTACGTTATTTCTGGGATTCCTAGTTCATACTATAATTCAAATACTCTTAATTATCATAGGCCCCAGGTAGACCCGGAAATATATGTGACGGCGCGGGACAAAGCCGTATGTTCTGCGAATGATTTAGTGGTAAACCACCAGGGTACTAAAACAAAAGAGAGAAACGGGAAGGGCGAGAAGCAGAACTAACACTGTTTATTGCTCGTGAAGTCTGGTCATTTGTGAAAGAATAGTTGGAGTGGGGATACCTAGACTAATTCTCTTTTAAGTCAGTTTCTAAGCTGAAGAATTCAACCCTCCGTCTTTAAATCTCATCCAGCGGGATATAATCCCTACAGGGTGGTTCCACAGATGGATTGACATAACTATTAAAAGGTTAGAACGGACTGAACATGTGCACAGCGCAACAAAATGAGACTGTGACGGAAATATTTCGAACCTAGGTTAATTACTGGGGGATATTCATGTCCACGCGCCAACGGAAATTGTTAACCATGATGTTTAACGTGGTAACAAACGAGATACTTTGTGCGGTTGAGAATGTTCCCCACCATGGCTATACTTAAGCGGACTATATGACGAGAAGGCATCTTCAATATACCCTATGTTCACGAGAGCACTGGAGTCTTACAGTGTATGATCAGTGGGAGATAGTGGGGGACACCATTTACTATTCTGTCCAGCACAATCTGTCTCGGAGTCAGCACACAACTTGAGAATAAGGTCCAGGGTTGAGCAAGCCATGTAACGTTAGCTGAAAGCCAAATAGAGAACCTGGCACCAACGGAGTCTCTGAAAGATTCTGGATGAAGTTCTCGGTTGGCATTGTGTAGTAGATACAATGCCTAAATCCTTGGAGATTTATAGGTATTTTGAAGATAAGCTACCCATCAGTGGACAGCTTTAGGAAAAGATTTGACAAATGCATATTCATCCATAGTTTTTCAGCTACAAAAAAGCTTATGAGGCATGAGTAACCTGTTCTAAAGCCATGCTGTTTTTCCGAAACAATCCGAATTTCGTCTGCATACTTAAAAAACTTTAGAACGAACTTCTCTGAAATTTTAACATACACGTTGGTCAGGTTTTCTGATCGATAGTTCTCGGGTTTGCGTCTTGAACCGGTTTTGGAGACAGGACTTGTTATGGAGCTTCTCTGGCCTTTTGGTAACCCACTTCGGGCTACAGATAGATTATGAAAAATATGCTTATGAAATTCGTATTAAAGTTTGGAAGTTCCTCTGGTAACCTAGGATTCCTTTCATCCAGTTTTATAAATATGCCCATGTTCACCTCGTTTAAAAAACCAAAACGAATCGAGTTCTTCAGTGTTTGCAGTGCCCATTGTGTATGGGTGGTGTATGAACCGAAGAGGAGGGCATCTCTACTTCATATGAATTGCTAAGGTAGTTCGGGAATTCTTGGTCTTTACCATAATCGTCCTCCACTGATGACCAAATACTACAGTCTCCTTTTCTCTTAATACCCTGGTTTATTTACGAGTACGAGATTCCTTAGCAATTTTTTCTTCGTACAAATTTCTAGACTGCGGAGGGTCGAGACAAAAATATTTTAAGCTTCCCGATATTGAGATTTTATCTCCTCAGTAACTAGCAACTTAAATAGTCTTATATTCTTCTCCTACTAAGTTGCAAACCTCTTAACTGTTCCACAGTCAGGGGTTTCCCAGACCCCTAGGTAAGGTTCAAGGAATGTACGGTGCAGTGACTTTGATGTACGAATTCTTGGATACATCTCAAGTCGTTTCAATGGGAGACTCTGTCTCTGTTTACCAATCTATTGAGCATTCTGAGTGTACAATATTTTGTATATTTACTTTACAGACGTTTGGTCTAGCTTAGGCTGACACACCCACGTTATAGATAAAAATATGGAGATCAGAGGCTGGAACTGCAGGGTAAACGTTAAATTATCGTGAAATATAGTGGAGGTCTGTGACGTCATCAGCACTAGAACTAGTAAGGATGATTCAGAGCCCAGGTCGTACCTTGTTCCTTTTTTCACATGTTGTTCTGTTCAAAAGAATTTCATGACAAATCAGTTCACAGATTTTTCCGGTCTACCGTAAGTGCATTAATGTCTTTTCAGAACAAATATCGACCGATTGAGAACCGAGTGTTGAAACCAGCTAGTCACAGTTCATTCACTTAACTTGGGTACGCTGAATCAAACATTAGCTCTTGTTCTCTGCATTTCAAGCAGCAACTAACTAATTCCAACCTTTCAATTTCATGGGATGTGTTATAAGTAACGGTAAACGAGGCAGTATATCCGATGAATAGAACTCCATCTTATTTATGCTTATGGATTCAATAGGCTCTTACTAGTGTAAAACTGTCAAAATTTAATTGCGTACTGTCTACCGACTGCGTCAGCCGAATTCCTGTGACGGCGATCACGTTAAGCTCAGTAGAGTATATTTGTGCACCTAGCACTGATCGCTTGTTGAGCAAGTTCCGAGCGTTTGTGTGACAGATCCGAAGACCACTTAAATGGCTTCGAAGCGCACCCAAAGTGGCCTCGTCATAATTCACTGTCAAAGCTACTACATCAATATATTTACAATTTTAAGGTCCTTCACGTCAACATCTGACCTTTGTTTCTGTTCCTTTTCAGCTTTTCGTCTTTTTATGGGGTTCACGAGTGGCAACTCTTCACGGACGAATCCCCTGACTCTTTTAGTTTATATCCACTCTATAGTATTAAGTACCTTCCTCTGCTAAGTGTAAATGCCAGTCTCAACAAACTACTTTGATGGTGTTTCAAGTATGTTTGGCTAAATAGTCTATGAATCTTCAGTAGAGTGAACCTAGATATAACTTTAGACACTGGCTGGTTAGATAAACAGTTTACCAACCCGATGTCTCGCTCAAAACGAATCGCTGGCTCCGAGATTTCACTCTGCTTGAATAAATGAGAGACGACTGACTATCGCTATGATCAACCATCAATTTCCCAATTGCTGTTTGGGATGCTGACTTTTCCTTAACGATATAAGTCCGTCTTTTACTCTTAATTTATACCTATTCATCAGCTCTCTCCGCGGAGTGGCAGTCTAGTTGTGTTACACACATTGTAAGGTCCTGAACGATTGTCTGTGACTCAGATGCTCAGGTTGTTGTTTTTTCCTTCAGAAACAAACCTAGCCCAACAAATAGGTTTTCTGGACGTTTCCCGACTCCCACCATTCGGATGGAGTTGGACAGAAGAAACCAATTTTCTTGAGCTTTTGCATCTGACAAACATCTTTGATGTCGGTTAATCAGAAAATAAGTGGAAAACCGTACACTGTCAGGTCAAAAACGCAGCAAATAAGAAAAACCAATGAACTTGAAAAAGTGCTGATCATAATCTACATTCGAAAAAAATGATACTCTTGATGTTACTCCAACTGAAATAAATCCAATTAAAGTGAAAAAATCAGTAGTGATGAGTAACAAACGATCAAAACTGTAAATTTAAGTCAACGAGGAAAAATACCACGATTCTTTCCAAATGGTAGGCTTCGAAAGTTATTATCAACACCTTTTCCCTACTTACTCTTTCATGTCCGTCTTCTCATACATCACCAACTAACCAGACTATTTATATATTCTCACAACATTTGTTCTCTATTAGCACTCGAATTATCGCTTTAATAATCTTACAGTGCAAACAAACAACATCTTGCCCGGCACTGTGATGGATGCTGGTATCCAGAAACCATAGACCTATTTATTTGAACGACAAGATATATAAATCCACAAACTGATTAGAATTAGTGAAGTCGATTGACTGAACTACCACTCATTGGACATTGTCAAGTATCTGGATTCGCACACGAACAACAAGAACCGAGGGAAGAGAAATCAGTTGGTTTGTGCTAGCTTGTGATAAAGCTATTTGAAATTAGAAGTACATGGAATAATGGTATTCAGTATTGAAGACCGCCGTGGTCGAGTATTTTGCTACCCCAAGGCCACGTTTTGCTTTTGGTAATGCTCAGCCAGAAAAAGCCCCATAAAGAAGGAACTAAGAGTGAAAAGCTCATTCATGAAGAAAATGTACGGACACTCAAGTTCTACCGTTATTTGTTTCTGTCCTGTTATGTAAGTCCTTTGTAGTTATTTTAATTCAGAACGTTCATAACCATTTTTTATGTTTGTTCCAAAAGTTAATTCTAACCAATATTTCAAATGCACATATAACGAGTCATTGTGTAGTTTCAGATTCGTCGTTAAAAGTTTCACTTAAACTAGTTTATACAGAGTTCAAGTGTCGATGTCATCGGGAAATAGAATTAAGTTTTCGAGGTAACCTAAACTGATTGCAATGGACAGTGTAAGTCTATTCCTTTCGAAGGGTTACGGCCATGTTGATTTTTGGTAACAGTTGTGAGAAGCCAGTTGGCAGCAAATAGTACTATTTGCTGAACATATATACGTATATATGTTCATTAAATTATTATCTTCGCAATCTATCCACTTAAGGTATTATTTAAAAGACTTAATCATACTGCTTTTCGATTCAGAATTCTCTATGATTGACGAGGTCAATGATTTGTTGACGATATTACTTTTTATATCTCTTTTATTTGCCCTATATTCAGTAGTTTAGATAAGTTTGACTTAAATGTACTCGAGAAGCTGAGTAGTGAAATTCTACAAAACTACATTTGCGCACGATGTTTAAAGTATTTTTTCGCACTCCGAAGCAATTCGAACTGTAACTGCAGGAATTCTCCACAATACTGCAATGTTATTCTGGAACACCGGTTGACTTGGTAGTGTTGTAGATCACTAAAGTGGATTATCTGTGTCAAATGATTGGGGGTCTACTCGAGCTAAACAGGAGTGGTGTGACGAATCTACTAGTTTCGAAGTCACACCTTGCGGTTAGTCCCTAACTTGGATTACCTTTCGTCGTATCAAGGTACTGTGGTCACTTTGAAGTCCGTATAACACAAAGGACATATATTAATAAGAGTAGGTACAACAAAAAGAGTGAAACCACCACTGAATGGGCCAGTACTTGGCGCGCCATTAATTGATGCGCATTGGTGGTCTTTGAACGTGATGAGGATCGGTGAACTATTCGATATTCATTGAACCAACTATCGAATGATTTAGATATGGCCCAGTGACAATTCACTGGTCCTACTGTGTAGTTTGGTTCAACGGCTGGTATAACTATCCAATCACGGATATTTACCAAAATACTAGTTATTTGTGTTGAAACCATGAAGTGAGCTTTGCTAATGTTAGACTCTGAGTACTTAATAAATGAGGAAAATTAAATTAAGTTCTAAACTATCATCAGCTGTAGCTTTTGTGACCTACTTTACACTTGTATTTCTACCACACACTTCAATGTGTTATTATGACTCACTTTATCGACGACAGAAGGAAAAATTAAGATAACTAAACTCATGCATTTCATAATAATCTTTGAAATCGTCGATATTTTAAACTTAACAATAAAGAAAAATTGCAAACTTATTGGTGAATATTCTCAAGCGACTGGGACTAACTGTTGTAAAGTTTAGGCTCTGTGATTTAAAACTAGTGATACTGGTGAGCTGTATCTAGTTTTATCATGACAAAAGTGTTAATCTATTCCACACCACTCATTCTTCGATTTTACAGGCTTCTTTACCTAATTTTTACTCTTCTCGATCCTTCCCGCATTTAACATTAGTGTGAACAATCTGACAGCGTAGGTCAATGCATATTTATTCTACGTTCTGAATTATCCCTGGTTATCTTTTCTTTTAACTAGAAAACCGCATTTCCACTTGAAATTAAGCATAATGGTGAGGACCCCTTAATTTCGTGAGAGAAAAGTTCAAAATAAACCTTTAGATTTGTTATTCCTCACCTATATTTTCAAATACATTCTGAAACGTTACTTTAAAGACATATTCAGACCATTAAAGACTGTCAGTTGAACATTTCATTTATTTTTACCAACTATTACTTATACAATAAGGAATTCCAAAACATCTTTAGTTAAATTACCAAAACCCCGAGTTTAAATTGAGTATCAGATATGCTCAGTTATTATACTTTGTAAACACTAGCTAAGCGAAGAGATTTCTTTTCAGTTGATTTTTCATAATGACTTTCTCTCTCTCTCTCTCTCTCTCTCTCTCTCTCTATATATATATATATATATATATATATATATATATATATATATATATATTCGAAGTTCGTCTTTACTAAATCTTTAAATGGAGATTTTTCGTTAGTATATTACTTGATATTTAACCTTGTCTACAATGCAAGTCTCCAATCATGGTTTTCTCGGAAGCATTACTTAGTAATAATATAAACATCAAGTGACTGACTCTAACGTTAGTAGTAAGGTTGGTTTCCAAAACAGTTATTCGACTGATGAGATTATAGGCTGTCGATTGGCACATTTGGGCCATATGTCACAAATGTATATCCATAATATATCCTTAGTAATAATGTTGGTTTGTATTAGGGTGGTTTCATAGAAGGATAGGGGTGCTTAAATAAGAGCATGGTATCAGCAACTGATGCTATTGATTGCTAAACTGACCTGTGTCATTAGCGACTTATTTCTCGATTGTGTTCCGGTGGATAGTCATATTTTATGGGTAGAAACGATAAATACCTGGCTCAAAGTCAATTGCAATGGTACAGTTGTATCCGTTATGTATTTTTCTCTCCCCTGAACATGGTACCATTCCACACTTGTCTTTATTTAATTTCACTCGTTCTTTTTGGTGCACACATGCTTAACCTTCTGTTGTATTGGGTACTGACTTTCATTCTTCATTGGTTTTCAACTTGTTGATTTCCTCTTCCAATCCGTTAATGTCAGATGTGCAACCTGGAACGACACATATCGTTCTCAGCTCTTACTTCCTCTCTGACCGGTTAATTTTATCATCATGTTCATTATTGGTTATATTCTTATCTTAGACTTAGTGTTTGGACATTTTGTTACAACATTCATTATTGTCAATGTTATTTTCTTCCTAGATAGTTTATTTCGTTATCACTTTAACATTTTTCTGGTCAACCTATACGAAACGTTACATAGCGTTATCACTAGGATGCTTCGGTGCTTGTTTAGCTGCTTATAAATTTATGTCCTACATGGCTTCACCATCTTACGCTGTCAACGAAAGAGGAACTCGTCAACTGGTGGATGCCGGCCTAGATTTAAATATAGGATCCGGTGGACTTGGAGAGTAAGTGATTTACACTTTTTGCTTTATTCCCTTATTAAATAATTAGGTTAGTATGGGTAAGGATATTACCACTATGGAGGGATTTCTAAAGGTTGTAGCATCTTTAAGATTTAGATCATGAACTGATCTTAACTAGACTGTAATTGAAAAAAAGGTTTTCTATTACTACTAATACTGTTACTGCTTTTACTACTCTGACGTTTGTATCTGTGCTGTTCTGTGGCAACTTGAACTTATGTGCATAAGTCCCAGTTTCTGCATTGGGTCTGACCCACGAACTAACTGACTGACAGGCTGATTTAAGCTAAAATGAGTCATCGAATGCCAAGGATCATTAGACAACTGTTTTGTTCTACTCAGCAATGCACATCTCCCACACAAGATCAGCTGCAGGAGACAAACCCAGGATTTTAAGTCTTGTGGGTCTCATCTTGTGTTCAGCTTATTGAGTTAACATGTTGTAATTCAAAATCTCGACTCCAATCATCTCCTCGAAATGAGTAATTTTCATTCAACCACCCATGGTTACTGTTTTGCTTTACTTCTTTAAATCAGTCAGAAATACTCTGTGGTGACTGTGCTCAATTTCTTTCTTTCAAAGACTGAATTTAATTTGAACTTAATTAAATGAACTGAAATATGAACTAATTTTTGTGAATTCTAGCCTATAAATCTTCTCTACAAGGATTTTGTTTTGGAATAGTCAGTGATAGTAGAATAAGAAGCTGTGGTATCAGCGTATAAAAGTGTCGTTAAGAGTTATCTCTGTTGTTTCATCCATATCACTTCGTTTTGTATAAACTCCCAAGTCCTGGATACTACAATGGTGTGAACACCGATGAAACTAACATTTATGAATTACTTTGATTGATTATAAAAAAGGGACCTTGCGAAATTTTAATCACTTATATAATCCAAAATCGGGTTAATTATTTGTTTTAATAGGGACTAGGATCGTTAGTCAGAGTGAGTGTTTTCATCACAAACTGATACCAACTATAGTGGAAGAATGCGCTATAACTGTAAAGACTAACAGAATTCACGTAAAATACAAAATCTGCTATCGTAAATCTGATTGGTTTGTCTATAGAGTTTAGTTCAGTTTCGACAGATCTATTTTAGGATTTTGTTTGGAGCCTAGCACTTATTCCAAATTAAATCATTTATCATCTCTGTGATCTTGCTATCCAGATCACCGGCCATATTCTTATATTTTTAATCCAATTACAGTCGGTGTAGATTTGGATAGGAGAAAAACATAATTTGAAAGAACTGGTCTTAAAAATACAAACAAAGTAGTTTTGCTATTCTTATAATGAAACCAGATCGCATTTGTTAGTTTTATCTTTTATATTTACTTGGAAAGGGAAAGGAAGAGGACTCTATCGATCATCCAAAATAGTCTGGTTTAAATTTTAAATATACTCAGCATAAATCCATATTTACAGTTGTGAGATGAGTCTATAAACAATAAGTTTTAACTTTTGTTTCTGTATCATATCAATTTATTCATTGGTTAGGAACTAAATTATATACCATTTATTATTAATCTAATCTAAGGCCATTTGATGGAAAAGGATGCAAATGAGCGAAAAAAGTCAGTGAATCCATAAACAGTGATGGTTAACAACTTAGTTCTTAACTTATTAGGTATTGTAACTCTAGTGAGCCCCTTGTTTCTGTAGTTAGATATCAAGAGAAGGTTGTCTCTAAGCTAGTTAACGGCCTCGGTGCATTAGGTTACTCAATATAACCTTCAAACCGCAAACTCGTGAGTTCAACTTGTAATTAATCAACCTTACGGGCAGGGAACTATCCTATTCCTTGACTTCGTGAATACTGATTGGCTGGGAAGAGAAGAGGGAAGACAACCGTGGCGGGAAATCTCTATGTTCGATTATGTCTAACTTAGAAGAGTACACGTTTAAATATGGAGATAATTAGACCACAAAGTACAACAAATTAGAAAATACAATATATGCAAAACAGGAAGTAAGGCTGCTATTTATAATACAATAAATTAGGAAGAAGAAATGACAATAGTTGATAGATTAAACGATTGCTTATGATCAAGCAAGTAAGGTAGTTACATAAAACAGCTGTAAATAACTTACTGACTACAAATTAAGCAAACTGATAACCTAAAAGCAGCTTTCATAATTTACTATTTCTTCGATCAGTTTTTGAATTTTAAGATTAATCTCTTTGTAATATATTCTGTGTGTGTGCTCAAAAATGTTTGCAGTTGCATTCACTCTTTGTTTCTCCCTGTACTCTGAGTCCCGAAATCTCCGTATAATTCTTATTTTATTTCTCCAGCTAGTCTTTTCTATTACTAATAATACTGTTACTTCTATCAGTCAGATTTTTCTTGATAATTTTATCTCATTATGCTAATGTGGCAACTTAAACCGATACACATATGAGCCAGGTTCCATGTTTCATATAATTGACTGAATGACTCCTTAGCATATTGCATTTGTGGACCTAGCCTCCTCAGCACACATCCAGGCCTAAAACCAGCTTAGTTTCCTCAGTTCCGCTGTTCACGAGTCTTAGGAGTCATATGATTATTGTGGCCACCATGTTAGACAATATATTCTTCAAACCGATTCTTCTATGGTTATTAAAAGAGGATTTTTGTCCTATTCTAAAAACTTTGATGTCTAGCGATCGCGATCAGTTTTATTTAGGAGTACGCCGTGTTTGTAGACTCTGATTAATATCTCAGTCAATCTAACTTCGAAAACTAGATCATCATGCTTAAAGATTTTTGAAGGCCTACTACTTACCGTTGCTTTAATTTAAATATACATTTTGGAACTTTATTAAGAATTGGGGTATGGAGGACGTATTTCACTCTCAACAACTGGAGAGTAGCTGGAAAAGAGTTGAATTATTCTTTAAAGCAGAACACAACTCACATTCTAATAACCTATAGTTATTTTCATTTATCTCATGATTCATTAATTGTTCGGATTGTTTTTGTTCACATTGGCCTACGCTTCTCTCATTCTTTTCGTTTTACTTTACATAGCTGTTTTTTTCAATATTGTATACTTTTTTATTATTTACTTATTGTTAATGGTGTTTTTTTTCTTTTTAGACAAGCTAAAGATGCAATAATCATGTGCAGTTTAGTCACTATATTAAGCTTAATTCATCAATATTTCTGGTTCCTCTTATTAATTGTAAGTTTTGCATTGAATCCGTTTCTTGTTTAGTGTATACGCGTTTATTTATGTTTGATAACTTTGGCAAGACTATAATTTATGAACGAACCAATCAGATGTAAGATAACAGGTCTTGGATTTGGTTGCGAAATTCATTCATTCATTTGATTAAATAGCGTTCTAGGATTTTAGCTGATGTTAGTTCATGATGAAAGCCCTTAATCCAATTCCTTATCCTAACTATCAGCTGCAACCCACAATCCTTATTCTTCACACTGATTTATAACCCTCATTTGTCCATAGTAAGTAGGTGGATATTCTCAAGGTCACTTTGGCGTCGCTCAGAGGTCGTCCATAAATTAGTCTCACCAATCCTATTTTAAAATCTTAATAATTATTTCATTGACCTAAATAGAAATTTCATAACAGACTGATTTCCTGTCCCACTGAAGGATCAGTAGTAGTACTCAAAAGCGAAAACTCTAGAACTCGTCGAAGACTAAATGGCGAATCTCCAGTCCTATAAATAAAGAAGTTACCTTCAAACTTTATTGACCATAAACATGAAATGTTGAAATTTGATGGAACCAGTTTTGATTAATAAAAATTGCAATTTAGACTTGGTAATCAGTGATCCATAAAGGCTGTTTTTATGCCAAATAGCTTCTATTCGTATTTTCAAACTTACAGAATCGACTCCACAGGTTTTTATGGAGTTCCGTTTTTCCTCAGAAATCACACTACGTCGATCCATAAAGCCTTAAATTTTTACTTTTCAGACTAGTTAACTGTTATAACTTGTGAACCTGTGTGCCCTGTTTATTGTATAATGCAGCGATACCGCCAATCAGAGAGCAGCGAACTATAGATCGAACCAGTGACGCATAAAACACGTGCGAGCAGCCTAGAGTCCTGATTGGTCCTACTTTCCACCTAACCCAGCCAGTTGAGTTTAGAACACCAATCTCAGCCTCTGCGATATGAATAATTTATTTCAAATATACTCGGTTTATATATCAACCTAACAGACCACATCGTACCGTCAAATAGGAAACAACATTTGTACAAGAATTAGCCAAATATGGCTGTGGATATGGGAGATGGTAATTAATAGACATACCATAACTCAAGAATGGTAAATCGTATTATAATAGGTCATAGGTCAAAATAAAACTCATTATAAGAGGGACATGAATGTGAACAGATTAGTTACATAACAAGTACACGAGAAAAATATACTCATAGTCTTGGTCCATAAATGGATCCGAAAAATTACCATTCATTATTCTTATCGGGATATAACATTAATAATGAGAATCTGAACGTTTTATTTATTATTATTATTAGTGCATGAAAGTGTCTCTTTCGAAATGGTAAATGAAACATAAATATAAATCATTTCAGATCTGATATGCTCATTGTTGGGGAGACCCCGAAAGGTCCCTTGAAAAAAGACCAAAGGGTCCCTGAAAACACTGGGAAACGTTTCATCTAATCAGTATTGAATGGATGTTTCTCAGAAGCATCTAGAATATGGAGAGTCACGTGTCACATTTCGGATTAGATGATCACCTATCCCGCTACTATGTGTAGAAGGATTCCAGAACTTTCCAAAAGCCCAAGGACATCTGAAATGCTATAAGTTCCTTCAACTTTCTGTACATAAACTAACCTTAGAGTAAAGTGTTCTCCCCATATTTCGCGCCTTTTTTATCGTGTTCAGGTTTTGCAGATTTAGCCTGAGGTTATTAGAAGAGCGTTCAGTCAGAGGATGTATCACCCATCACGGAATGTTGAGCTCATTGATGCCTGCAAAGTTATTGGTACATGTTATCCAATAGTCCTGAACTCTACTACAATAATCATTTAATATTCCATTATCGGCAGTATTAGTTATTCAGCTGCTATATTCTTTGACTGTAAAATTCACCAAGTTTCTCGTTGATTTTAAAGTGTATATTTTCAGTCACATTCAATGTCATCAGTTAAACATTGTCTCTTCCCTAAACTTTTTTGAGTGCTGCTAGAGGTATGAGCAAAGTTGTCCATCCCATGTTTCCCACACCTTGGGAGCATAATTCTTTTTGGGGTCCCTGTAAAGGAAACTGGGTTGGAAATGGTCTTGATTACCTAGGAGAGTGACAAGGCCTGTTGCCGGTCACATACAGTCTCTTTACGAGCAGTTTCAGGTGTGTTTGCCCCATACTTTCGGAAACAGAAAGCCGTGAGACAAGGTTGTGTGCTATTGTTAAGGCCGACCTATTGTAAGCCAATCCTTTTCTTATGGGAAGACAGCGTCACTACAGATGCTGGTTTTCTAAGGAAAGCACCCAAAATGTGACGTCCCAATATAGTCAGAGGTACCAATTCGTCCTCAAAACTTAGGTTGTTGCTTTTAGTCTTTTAGTCTCATCTTACTCCATCCAACCTATCTGCTATTATATGACCTGGAAAGACGTGTTTTATCTAACATGCCTCGATTTGTTCATCATGATATGCAAGGACGACCACTTCGTCAAAGTATCAGCTACGTTCAGCTGAATAGCGAAATTATAGTTTATGGACTAACCAATCAGGTTTAGGGTAATAAGTCTTGGATCTTGGCGCTAATTTCACTTACCCATTTGGCTAAATGGCAGTTTGACATTTTAGCTGATGTTAGTTCGTAATGAAAACCCTAAATCTATTTCCTAACCATCAACTGTAAATCATAATCCTAATTTCACACTGGTTTATAACTCTCATATATAGCTGTAGTATGTAGGTAGACATTCTCAAAGTCACTTCAGCGTTCCTCGAAGTTCGTCCACAAATTATAGTCTCCCTGGCTGAACTTGTTTAACATTACAAATAATGGATTCTCAGTAGATTATGGGGGAAGCTGTCTCATTCATTACGCTGTTCATTTTTCTCCAATACTATGTCATCATGATACTGAATTTTCTTTAACTTGTCTGAATCATTAGGAACTCTTTATAATTTCTTGCTGAACTGTAGTGAGAGCTGTCATGAATGTTTGCTGTCATTTATATCCAGATGTACATGTACACGCAATTCATGTGGAATGTTTATTAACATTCGCTAATAACATTTACACTACTCACTAATATTAAGTAGCAACATCCCATTTTTAAATGTTATATATTTTGTCTTCATGTATAATACCAGATTCCTATTCGGTTATTCTACGTGCTTTGGGTAAATATCTTGGCACCGTGGATATTTGATCCAAATCAAGAAACTCAGGTAAATGAAAAGAAACAAAAGAAAATGGAACGAAAAATGAGACGAGTTGGTCATCTGATGCATGGTACAGACAGAGCTGTCGGCCGAGCTAATTAGATAACGAAGTGTTATAATGAGAAATGGTTATCATCATTCTGAGTATTGTATTTTATTCTATGGATATTTCCATCCCTTATCTCGTATTATTCTTACATGATATTCTTTCTTTGTCCTTTTTAGTACATATTGATATCTGTACAGTAATTTATATTATGTATAGTTTCTGAAATGACTGATTTGTTTCTTATTGATATTATTCCTAGTATTGTTTTATTTATTCTCAAATATGCACAGTGGTAAATAATTCTATCATTATTTTCTTTTTTTCTATCGTTTGACTTAAATAATATTGTGAATGTCTTTTATTAATCAAAGAAGAGGAAAATTTCTGTACTTCTCCTTGTTTCTAGCTATTCGGTCAACAAGTAACTTCTTGGAATTCGCTCAGTGGTTTAAAGGTTATATGAGGACCTGGGTTCGACTACTGGTAAAGTTGTGAGTACTATTTGCCAAGGAGTGTTACACTAGGACAAAATAGCTGTCCAGTATTTCTGGTTTTCAATGATAATCTTTTATTTTATTTATTTAAATATATAAATATTAGTACGAAGAGGCACCAACATAAATGTACTCTGTACAGTATGTTCAAGAAATAGATGAAGAAAGGTTAGTAAACAACAATAAATTTATAAAAATAAGTGAAATAATGCTAAAGAAGTGAGATGTGTAGTTTGGTTAAGAAAAATACATTTAAAACGTTTTTCGGCAGGACCGCCACAAACTTTTAGTATGAGCCATGTCTCATAGCGTTTCAAGCCACTATTTTGTACTTTTGCTAAGACGCCAACGAGGAAATCGTGCCAGTGCCAGTGCCCATCTGTACTTTTCGGTGTGTTGGTAGCTAACGTTGAACCTAGCTCGGTTTGATATTTTGTTGCAACAGAAACTGCAACCAATTTTCTTTTGTCTATTTGTTCACCACTGAAATAAAGTTGGTGACAATAAGGGCATGATCAGAGTACACATAAATACTCCAAAAGAAGCTTCGGTTTTGTTTACAACCAAACGGGCGGTAGCTGATCGCAATGTGATCAATCTAAGTTTGGTCTCATGTTGCTGAGAAAGGGCGTCAGGCAGTAAATTTGCAATAACTATTCCAAAAGTTGGCTTTTAACTCGGGCTATCGCACTTTACAAGACCAGATTTCACAGCTAACCAGGTTTTAGTGCCGAATATTCGCTTATGGTTCCATCAATTCTATGGATAACATGGCCACCGCAAGAAAGGAGTGAGCTGATGGTTCCTACGTACACGTTGACATGTGAGGGCACTTCGACCGGAACTGAAAACTGTCTCAATCCTCTGTCGTACCAACGCTTTTAGGAACCATCTAACCATTGATGCAACGTTACATAATCTAACAATATTCTCAAGTCCTGTAAATTAGTAATAACTTTTGTTTAAAATATAGTCTCCATCGCGTATACCTTCTGACTGTTCACTCCTCAGCTTTGTTTTTGCTTCGGTGTATTTTCAAACAAGCTGCATTAGTTTTCAATCGTGCGCTTAAGAGTGGAACAAGTCTATAATTGCAAGGCAAAGCAGGAAATATGTTTACACCATTCATTCAATAAATAAACGTTGATTGAAAAGGCCACAAAGTCTAATTTAATATTGGCAAAATAAAGATAAATATTGGCTTTGACATCATAAACAGGTTAGCTCAGTGTTTAGAAGTGCTATTGGGTTGAACTACACGTAAAGTGATTCTATCATCATCATCCGAAGAGAAGTCAGTTTCTAGCATGAAACTAAGTGTTCTAACTAATACTGCAACATTATGTCATTATGGCAACTGAATCTGCATTTTAAAAATGTTATTACCTACGTAACTATACAAATTCAAACATTCGAGCAAATCAGTAATACTAAATAAAGAAAAAACCAAGGTTACGTGCGGAACTTTGTGAGTTGCCAGATTGATATAAACAGTATTCTTGGTTAGATGATTAATTCACTTTCTTTCAAGGTCCATCAACATTTTTATCCTACTATTTGTCCTTGAAATTGTACTTTGAGCCTTCTAAATGATCAGGATTTGTTGGGAAGAGGCTACTATATAGCTCAATATTCCAATTATATTATTTTGACTGTATCAGTTTATTCTTGTAAGGATTATAAAATGTATGTTTATCCAATCACTTATTAATAAATCAGTACTAAGTACCAATTATTCGAATGTATTCAATATTTAAGGATTAATTAGTGTAGATAAAACATACAGAAATCAGTGTATTCATACATCGTTTTGATCCACATCAAAAACCACCTATCATCACTCTTTTGTTGTTGCATTGAGTCATGTCTGTTTGGCTAGTGGAGATCTTATATAAATTTTGTTTATAAGCAACAACGTTCAATAAAACAGAAACAATGAAAATGTGATATGTCAAGTTACTAAGTTCGAATATTCTCCATTAATCATCTAAACTGTTAATCTAAGTTTTATCATTTATACTGTCAGAAGTTCTCTTTGATTTACTCAGCGGCTATAAAACATGACCTTTAAAAGTGTAAAGCAATCATTGGTTACCAGTAGTCAATCACAAATTCTGTCAAAGGAGCTAAATTGTTAATACCAATCGTACTGACGTTCCAAATTTGTGGCTTCGGTTTTATCTAGTATCGTTTCTTGTGTTGGCCAACCGTGATTGCGATATTCACACTTGAGCATTGCCAACCGCAATGCCTGTGTTAACTTTTTTAAGAGTAAATCGGAAGACAGTGACAGCCTAACTAAAAGTCGACGTCAGTTATTCACGATTGTTTATAGGAAGATTTTCTTCGCTGAATTACTTGTTTTAGTTGGAATGTCTACTGATCTAAATATTATGATGCTAAGAATTATTCTTCGTTCCAGAACTTTGACATTTTCCCAGTTGAATTTATGTTCTTAGTTGTCCATGTTAATTGATTTCAGTGATAATATAGTGTTGATTTCAGTCAGTCAGTAACATCGTAGAACTTCGTACGTACGTACATCAGTTCGAGTTGCCATACCACATTAGAACGGAGATGCAATTGTCTATTTAAATCCCGCAGTGGTAGAGGTAGTAAAATTATAAGCAGTAATTGGAAAGATTAGGGTTCGAAGATGTTATTCAAGGAGTATAATCCAGTGAAATGAATTTGCAAAGAGAAAAAAAGGAACATGATGGCTTATGTTTGTGCACATGTAGAGGAAGAGAGCATCCATTTTGTCCAGTGTGACGTTTATACCAGTTATTAAGATTTATAAATGATGTTGTATTTGTATTCTTTCGTTTTTATGACCTTTGTCATACAAAGAGGTGGATTGATTGGGTTTATTAAAGATAGACGCTCATTTTAAAGGCTTCCGGATTTCTGAGATGTTTTTTTACAGATTCTAGTACTGTTTGTATCGTAGTTTATGAAAAAAATCTTGAAAGGATGAGTCAATTCACTATACACCTTGAGGGAAAGGTACTAGAATCATTATTTTGACGAACAGAAGATAGAAGATTGATTTCTTCAAATGTTGCATAATGTGGTGGTCGGTATTCGATATAATCATTAAACTTCGCATACAGTTCGTCTTGATAACCGTTCTATATAACGTCCCAACGGTATATTAATCAGAAGGCAAATACGAAGTGTTGATTACGTTTATTACGAGACCACACACATATATCCAAATGTACAGATGCGTTAAACAAGCATAGAAGAGTTGTGCCGAAAGGCAAGCAAGCGAGCGAGAGCCATAGCAAGAGCGAGACGAGAGTGTGTGAGTGAGTGAGTATGAATAACATGGACATATATATAGCATGTGAAATGAATGAGTAATCGAATCAAATAATCAGTTAGTAGTAAGACTAGAAGAGTGAATAAATGCGTAGGCCGTAAGCAATATTCAAGCATATGTATTTCATACAAGCACAAAATAATAAGGGTACAATAAGTTGTTATAGTGCGGATGACTTTGTCCGCTAAATGAGTTAGCAAAAGGGCTTAACTGAGTTAAATGAGAATAAACTCAGTTGCACGTGAGTCGCTATAATATTAAGAATGCTACACTGCATTTTGACTGTTTTTAACTGGCATCTATGTACTAGTTTTCTCGTGTGAAATCTAAATGTTATTGCTGTAATTTAGTATTTGATTGGTATAAATTGGAATTTTCAGAGTTCGTGCACTTGTTTTGTATAGTTATTTACACCTGTTACCCCTCGTGGAGGAGCATAAACCGCCTACCAGCATTCTTCATCCAACTCCAACCTGGGATAATCCTTTCAACTTGTTTCCAGTCTCTATTCATCCTTTTCATATCTGCTTCCAATTCTCGACTCAGTGTGTTCTTTGGTCTTCGACTTGTCCGTTTCTTTTCAGCATTCCAAGATAGCACTTGTTTTGTGATTCAGTTTGATGATTTCCGCAATGTGTATCCTATCCATTTCCAGTGTCATTTCCTAAATACCTTCTTCAGTTGGAAGCTGGTTTGTTCTCTCCCAAAGTAGATGTTACTGATGGTATCAGGCCAGAAGAAATCCAGTATCTTATATAGACAATTGTTTATAAGTACTTCTACTCTTTTGATCATGGTTGTTGTAGTTCTTCAAGTTTCAGCTCCTTACAGTAGGACTGTCTTAATGTTCACATTGAAGATTCTGACTTTGATATTGGTTGACAGTTGTTTTAAGTTTCATATATTCTTCAATTGTAGGAATGCTGCCCTTACTTTGCTAATCCTCGCATTTACGTCTGCATCAGATCCTCCTTGTTCATCGATGATGGTTCCCAGGTTTGTGAATGATTCCGTATCTCCCAGAGCTTCTCTATCAAGTGTGATTGAGTTACTGCTGTACTTGAGGATCTTGGTTTTTCCGTCGTGCATGTTGATACCTACTGATGTAGAGGCTGTTGCTACACTGACTGTGTCTATCTGCATCTGTTCGTGTGTATGGGATAGAAGGGCCAAGTCATCTGTAAAGTCCAAATCGTCTAGTTTATTCCAAGCTGCCGATTGTATTCCGTGCTTCTCGTGAGACGTGGAGGTCTTCATAATCCAGTCAGCCACTAGAAGAGAAAAGAAGGAGAAGAGTAAGCAGCTTTGTCTGTCTTTGGTATAAAACACTTGGGAGGGACTTCTGGAATGTACCTTCTGTTACAAAGATGGATTGATGCTACCTAAAGTTTCAAGCTTTACACCATTTATAATAATAATAATAATTTTATATTCTGAAAACTAATAATTACAGAATTCACGCCAGTTTACAGGCATGATCAATTTGATATAAACAATAACGTTAGACGTGGAGAACAAACATGTAGTAAAAGAAAGTTTTAAGTATACTAGTTCAGTAGTTGTTTAAGTAGTAAATATATTACAGCGATCCAATGCATCAGCCGGGAATGTTTAATATTTCTTAAATGGACAGCCTATTGATTTATGAACGGTGTAATTACGGTCAATTCGTGTGCCAGATCGAAATAATGATAATTATCTACAACTAGGAAAAT